CTGACCGGCCCTGCAGGAGCAGGAGTGGACAGCCCGCAGACACACTGACCAGCCCTGCAGGAGCAGGAGTGGACAGCCCGCAGACACACTGACCAGACCTGCAGGAGCAGGAGTGGACAGCCCGCAGACACACTGACCGGCCCTGCAGGACCAGTAGTGGACAGCCTGCAGACACGCTGACCGGCCCTGCGGGACCAGGGACTGGCCAGCCTAGGTTCACAGTTCACACTGCATTCCCAGTGTCAGGTCTGTCTATTGAAAGAGTAGAGCTCTGTCAAATGACACAGGCCTCTTCACTTAATCAAGAAAGTGCCCAGCATGCCCTTAAACACCTGCTTACCCAGACATCGTCTGGACCTGGATTCTAGAAGTGTTCACTGAAGCAAGTGCCACCCACACTCCTCTGCGAACCAGACAGAGCCCAGTTCGTTTTTCTCCATGTGCAGGCTAGGGGCCCCCCCAACCCCACAAAACAGGCCACACGACTCCACCGGACAACCCTGAGCACAGGGCTCCGGCACCTGAACGCCGCACGCCGAGAAAGAGAGATCACGTAACCGCCCCCCTTTGTGTCACTTTTTGGAACCGGAAAACGTCAAAGAGAACGAGGACACTGTGCTGAACGGTATATAAAGAACAATTTATTGACAAAACACTACAGCTACAAGAAGAAGTATTACCATCAGAAAATATGGCATCTGTCAAAAAATGTATATCTTCCCTTTTTGTCAGTCTAGGACAGATCTGGTCAGCACAGCGCTGAACGCCGGATTGGCCTGTTCGTGTCCTGGTGCTGGGCTGAGGCCAGCAGGGTGGAGATGTCCCTCCTCTCCAGTTTTGGGGTGTGGCAGCTTGAAGATGGGGGGGGTGGGGGTGAAGGACCTGACTCTGCTGGGGGAGGAGGGGGGTGTTGGTGCCACCCCCTGTCATTAAAACAGCGAAACCCCCATAGAGAAGAGCATTCTGGGACAGACCACAGGACAGGACCCTGATCTAGGGGGCAGGGTCACAGAACACAGGAGCCACGCTCGGAGGACAGTCGTCCGTGCTGGAGAGAGGAGAGGAGGGAGCCACACCCACAAACGCTCACGAGGGAGAGGTGCAGAGAAACCACAGCTGTTTGCAAACCGCGTGGACTAACTCACAGAGCAACAAGAAGTTTGTTTCGCGGTTTCCAACAAGCTACCTAGCCCTGCCTGGTTTCTGGCAGCTAATGGACAGAGCAGTTCCCACACCCCTTCAGTGGTACTGTACTCCTGTGCTTATAACACGACAAGTTGACAGCCACCAGTGGGTCTGAATATATTTGAACAAAGTGCTGTTCTATATTAGTACACAGACATACATTCATAGTTATTACTATTAGTGACATTAAAAATTAATGTAGTTACTGTTTCAATAGGTGAAAAGGTATAAGGAATGAACCTGTGGCTTGAGTATTGCTTGAACGCAATAACAGATAAAGTGCATCTGGCCTTTAACCATGCTCACCAGCAGCAGGGTCCCTCACAAGGAGGGGTGTTGCGATGGGGGGTTTTGTGGACAGAGCTTCTCTCGTTCTGGTCCCTCAGACGGGACGGGCTTCACCTGCAGGATTCGCGCCGCCCCTCCGCGCCCCCGAGCAGAGCCGACCTCTCGTCGCAGGCTGGGGGGCCCTGGCTCTCTCCCCGGCTCGGGTGGGGACCCCGGGGGAACGGGGGCTCGTCCCTGGTGAGGAAGTGCTGAGAGGCGGCCCCCCCGACGGCCAGGACAGCCCACAGGGCCAGCAGGGCGCCGTCTGGTGAAGCAAGAGGCGCAGACCAGTCTGGAACACCTTCCTCTGGGTCTCGGCACAGTCATTACAACACACTCGCGCGCACATCCACAGCCATATCACCCTGCAGCTCCCAGCTGGCAGCCCCACTGGAGCTCAGCAGTGTGAGCCTGGTCAGTACCTGGATGGGAGACTCCTGGGAAAGCTGAGGCTGCTGCTGGAAGAGGTGTTAGTGGGGCCAGTAGGGGGCGCTCACCCTGCGGTCTGTGTGGGTCCTAATGTCCCAGTATAGTAACGGGGACACTAAACTGTAAAAAGGCGCCGTCCTTCAGATGAGACGTAAAATCGAGGTCCTGACTCTCTGTGGTCATTAACAATCCCAGGGCATTTCTTGCAAAGAGTAGGGGTGTTACCCCGGTGTCCTGGCCAAATTTCCCCCTGGCCTTTACCAGTCATGGCCTCCTACTAACCCCCCTCTCTGAACTGGCTTCATCACTCTGCTCTCCTCCCCACTGAGAGCTGGTGTGTGTGAGAGGACTGGAGCATCATCCAGGTGGGGCTGCACACTGGTGGGGGTGGAGGGGATCCCCATGACCTGTAAAGAGCTCTGGGTGGAGGGGCCAGAAAAGCACTATATAAGTGTAAGGAATTAGTAATTATGACATCCACTAGGCTTTGAAACCATGAGCAGCCCCATCCCATACACCCAGCAGGCTTGAGCTGAGGCCCTGCATTGCTCGAGTGGGTGTCAACCCAACACCACATCGTGCCCTCCTCCCTGGGGCATTCCAAATATACCCTCCCCGAGCCAAGCCCTGCTCCTTCAAGTAGATTCATAGCTGTGCAGGTAGGAGGGGGTGCATAGATACATGAGCAATATCTACGTGTTGCATGTAACCTACAGGGTCTCCCATCATTCAGTACCGAGGCGTTAACGCACGTCACACCAGCCAGCTAGCAAGAAAGCAACTCACCCGTGGACTGGAAAGGCGCCAGGATGATGGCCTGGGAGAACAGGGGGCTGACGGCTCTCCGGATCACACTCAGGAGAATGTAGGGCAGGCTGGTGGGGAGGTACGAGCCCACCATGAGCACTGCGGTGTAGGAGCCCACCCAAGCACAGGACAGGATGCTGAGCTGGGGGCAGGGTCAGAGAACACAGGAGTTAGTCTCGGAGGAAAGCAGTCCAGGCCGGACCCAGGGAGAGGAGGAGGCTACACCCATAAACATGATCACAAGGCAGGGAAGTCAAAATACTGCAGCCCTATGCAAACCGCATGGACTAACTTACACAGCGCCTAGCTGCTGGTACCTAGCTGACTCGAGGAGAAACTGCTCAATGTCTGGGAAAGCTTGCGGTTGAGTATTCCTGCACCCAAAGCCAGACAGCCAAAAAACAGAGGTTAAAAAGCAAGCACGTAAATTAAAAGGAATTAATGGGACTCGGTGATGAAGAGCTCACCTGGAGAATTAGACCCCCAGGAGTCCTCCAGGACTGGATGTGAGACCCCTGCAGTAAACTATGCACTATGCACCGGCCAGGTGGACACTGTGCCAGACAACACGCTGCCTGACTGGGCCAGCAACGGCCAGTGTCCCACTCACCGCTCTGGGGTAGGCCAGCACGACGGCAGGCAGCACGATGGAGATGGCCGTCACGCACGTCCAGAACAGCACGTCAGACCTCAGCATCTTCTCGTTCACTGCGTTTTAAAACAACAGCTCGGTAAAGGTGGGAAACGACCGATCCGTCGCGAAAAAGATCCTATTTTCCGGAGAGCACCAAAGGAGACGCGTTGCTCTGAAGTCAAGCACTTTCATAAAGATTTTATATCCCCGAGTACAGCTCTGGTCACTCTGGTATAACCACAAATGGGCTATTAGCGTTTGCTAAGAGAACTTGGAACGAACCCAGGTCAGGTCCGACACAAAACTTACAAAAGCGAGCGTTTCAACACAGCACACCACTCAGCTTATTGCTCGCAAAGGGGGATCATCAGCATGCAGTGTATTTTATTCACCAAACGCTGGGCCTTTCTGAGTTATATTTATATTACATGCATGTGGGGGGCACTGGGGGATGAGAAGAAATATGAATGAGTCACATGAACCCCTTCAGGAATAACCCCCACATCAGAGTAACCTTTTTAAAGGGGAACTGCAGTCCCAATTTCTCAGATCTCGGTAACTAAACAGATTCATTGACGGGATCAGAAAACGTGGCAAATGCCGAATTAAAAGCACAAAACCAGGAACTTTGTGAGAGCGCTGCAAGTCAGCACTTTGTTGCAAAGCCCTGGGCTCGCTGTGGGCAACAGGAAGGAGCCCTTCCTGCTCACTAGTCTCTGTCGCGAGTAATGTCATGTGACGTCCGAGCGAATAAGCACAGGTCGCGCAGCAGACATTTCACAGCAGGAACGTTCTAATGTGACTTGCATGCAGAGTTCAGAAAACAGTATTTGGGGGCAAAACCGCCTTGAAGTCAAGAGCCACGTTTCTATTGGATTAAAAGAGCCGTATTCACAAGCCTGCTGGTTTGCAGTGTCGTTGGGCTGCATCACCACACTGGAGGGTTTGCGGCCTCGTTCTGAATCGCAGAACATGGCGCTGCGCCCACCTGGAAATTGAATCTACTTTGTGATGGAAGCTGGGAGATTTTGCAAGCGACTGTGCAGGCCTGACTTTCACTGTGGTTTGAGATGCGCTCATCGATGCTGATTCTTCCTAACCCCGGTATATAAAAATAGGGTTGCAGGTGCCCTTTAACCCCGTCGGCGCTCCGACTTACCGAGTGGGGTGAACATTATAACCGCGGCCAGGAGGAACCCTGGGACCAGGCCGGCCAGCGCCGTCAGCAGGAGAGGCGCCCTGAGCCGCCACCCGCACAGAGCGAACAGGGCTCCCCCGAGCCCTCCGGTCACGGCGGCGGACACCAGACACACTGTGGGAGGAGACCAGACGACCCAGGCTGAGCCGCGGGCCCACGAACGCCCGGGGGCCCGCGCTCAGCGGCGACGTCACGGCGCCAGAACTCACGGTCGTACGAGGCGCCCGAAAAACGTCCCACCAGCACGAACGAGAGCAGGCAGAACAGCAGGAACCCCAAGAAGAAGAGTCCTGAAAAAAGCCCAACGGGACAAAAGCGTCTCAGTGTTTCTCCCTCTCTACCAGCTCGAGGGCCTGTCCACACAAACCACGGGACGAGCGGAAAGGGCTTTTAAAACCGAGGACACGAGGCACTGTACGAAAAGGGGGGCGTACATCTGGAACCCCCTGTCCTTGTTTCCTTGGTGGTTTGTTTCAAGCAGTGGCTGAACTGAGATCCTTTAACCTGCTTAACCTCAAAGCTAAAAAACTTACCGGCCACAGGAAACCTGTGCCCAGCAAAGCAGACGAACAGCCCGTAGAGCCCCAGGACAGCGAAGAACACCCGTGACGAAACTGGGCCTACGGAAGCAGGGAACACGAAAACGTTCAGTTTTTGACCTGAGGCGGGGCTCTGGATTAAACGCTAATGGTGGTTTTCGAAGGCGGATAATGACGGGAAAGACCGAGGTGTAACAGTCTGTAAAAGGAATGTTTCCGGGGGTGAGATTTTCACAGTAGCTCACCTGTACCAGCAGGCAGTGAGGAACAAAAGGCAACAGACGACTACCACCACAGCGGCTTTTACTAGCTCTGCAGCCTGCAGCCTGTTGATGGTTTCTGGTCAAGAGGGAGGCCAGCATCTCATACAGTGCTGGGAATCTGACCCGCCGCCCTCTCTTCACACCCGAGGTCAAGCAACGCACTCAACCTGCATAGATCCACCATCCCTGCAGCCCCACTGGGAAAGCTAAGGCTGCTGCTGGAAGAGGTGTTAGTGGGGCCAGTAGGGGGCGCTCACCCTGCGGTCTGTGTGGGTCCTAATGCCCCAGTAATGCCCCAGTACAGTGACTATACTGTAAACAATTATCTTTGGCTGAGATGTAAAACCAAGGTCATGACTCTCTGTGCTCAATAAAAATCCCAGGGCATTTCTTGCAAAGAGTAGGGGTGTTACCTACTGTCCTGTCCAAATTTCCAAATTACCTACTGTCTTGTCCCATTAATAATTTCCCCCTGGCCTTTACCACTCATGGCCTCCTAATAACCCCCATCTCTGAACTGACTTCATCACTCTGCTCTCCTCCCCACTGAGAGCTGGTGTGTGTGAGAGGACTGGAGCATCATCCAGGTGGGGCTGCACACTGGTGGGGGTGGAGGGGATCCCCATGACCTGTAAAGCGCTCTGAGTGGAGTGTCCAGAAATAAGTGTAAGGAATTATTATAATTTTGTGCATCCAACACACACACACACTTCCAGACCTCTCCTGCACTTTCCAGCACCGAGGCAGTTCACCCAGTGCCAGAGGTGCCACCCTGCTGGTGTCTGAAGGGGGAGAGCAGCATCCGTCCCCCCTCCGGGGCTGGATCACTCACCCTGACCCCGGCAGGGGCCGGGAGGGGCCAGACCACAGCTGTAGGTCGACACGGGGACGTAGAGGGAGGCGGCGTGACGCAGGGGGTCCCGGACCACCACAGCATAGATCACCCCAATGCTGGCAAAGGGGCTGACGAGCAGGCGGGTCTTGTCGAAGGAGGTCAGGGAAGCGATCTGGAACGGCAGGAGACAGCTTGAAGAGAGAGCAGCGCTTGATAAGGGACTGCGAGGACGCGGACCCCAGGGCAGCCTGGCATCATAAACCAGGGCACTGTGGACAGGCTCTTTAGAGGGGAACTGCAGCCCCAACTTCTCTGACCTGCTATTAAATCTCGGCAACATAATCAATTCGTTGACGTCACAGAAAAAATCACATTCTGAATTAAGCACGAAATCTTGAACTTTGTAAAAGTACCGTAAGTTGCCGTGTTGTCGCAAACCCCTGGTGTCGCCCCAAGAATTGCGATGTGATGCGGCCCTTCCTGCTCACTAGTCAATGTCATGACAGACATCCCACATAGAGGCACGCAATCCCACCTTCCTCCCATACTGCTCCACATTCTGCACCGAGCTCATCCTCGCTAGCCCGTCAAACACCCCGGCCTCACTGACGTCCACCTCCGACAGGAAGTACTGGTAGAGGTCGTAGGTCAGCCTCCACCTCGAGTGGGTCCCTTGGCCGACATCACACGCTGGGGGGCTCAGGTTTCTAACACCACCGGGGGGAGAGAGAGAGAACACGTGAGGATAAAGGCCAGCACTCGGGGAGAATGGAGTTAGACTGGCCAGAACCGTACATGTGAGCTCTCGGAGTACGGGCACCAGGATCGGTGGAGGCTCTGGAAAAGAATGATACGCATTTGGGTTTCCGAGCAGCATCTGTACTACCCTGTAGCTCACCACTGGAGCTCAGCAGTGTGAGCCTGGTCAGTACCTGGATGGGAGACTCCTGGGAAAGCTGAGGCTGCTGCTGGAAGAGGTGTTAGTGGGGCCAGCAGGGGGCGCTCACCCTGCGGTCTGTGTGGGTCCTAATGCCCCAGTATAGTGATGGGGACACTATATTGTAAAAAAGGCGCCATCGTTCAGATGTGAAACCGAGGTCCTGACTCTCTGTGGTCATTAAAAATCCCAGGGTGTTTTTTTGAAAAGAGTAGGGGTGTAACCCCAGCCAAATTTCCCCCTGGCCTTTACCAGTCATGGCCTCCTAATAACCCCCCTCTCTGAACTGGCTTCATCACTCTGCTATCCTCCCCACTGAGAGCTGGTGTGTGTGAGAGGACTGGAGCATCATCTCGTGGGGCTGCACACTGGTGGGGGTGGAGGGGATCCCCATGACCTGTAAAGCGCTCTGAGTGGGGTGTCCAGGAAAGTGCTATGCAAATGTCTTAAAACCCGCTGGCAAGCTCCGATGTTTGTGAAACTTGTACAATGTTGCGGATCGGATCCATTTCGAACCACTTGTCAGCTCACCTTGCAACCCCTAGGTTGGCGGGCGCGAACTCTACCACGGTCTCGTGGGCCGTGAAGCCCAGGTGGACGTTGGGGTCGTTTTCCATGTCGAATTCCGTGTTGCACGCCCCGGGAACAGGATCTGGAGGAAAAACACACCGGGACAGAGGGACACCATTGCAGAAGACCTCACCGCTGACACGGGCACGGGCGAGAACACACGGAGACACTGCGCGCAGACCCTCGCAGAAGGCTCGACGTTTGAGACGGGCCCCTGCTCGCTGGCGGGGCTCATTTTCAGGCGGCTGAAAGGAAGCCGTGTCCTACTGCGCCGCACACACCTTGCTCCCGGTAAGGCACGACGCTTACGAGCGCGGTGACGTTCTCCTCGGATCTGATGAAGAAGGAAGCCCGAAGCGCCGACTCCTTCAGCGGGATCCACAGCCCGGCGCTGGTCCCGTTGTAGGACGCGTCACGGGGGAACGCCTGCAGTACCAGAAGCGGACACTGGGGGTCAGTCGCGGCCCTGCAAATCTCGGCTCGTTTGCAGTTTCAGCCTCAGCCTTTATTACAGTTGCAGATTATTATGTGTATAGTGAAACAATCTGGGAAGACACCCGTGTTTGGACAGCTTACAACAGATGTAAAGACGTATTTCCAGACTATATCGCAATGTTAGACCTGATCTTTACCTCGTTTAATCTTTTTTCATAAAGTGTAATTGTATTACAGTACGTTTCCCTCACGATGTCACTGATGTGCTGTCTGTAGTCGTTTGTATTGTATGTATTTTTGTTGCTACAATAAGAAATTTCAAAAAAAAGGTTTCGGTGTGGCAATGTTTCAATTTCATGTGCGGGCTCTGCTACTTGATTGAGTCCCTAACTACACCGACAATTAAAACTGGCGCTTTCCACAGGAAAAAAGTGTTCACGCCAACTTATAACTCAGCCGGAACGAAAAACCAGCCCAGACACGACAAAAAGCCCCTTAAAGAGACTCTTAAGACTCGCAAGAGCGGGACGGCCCTCCCGAGGCGAGGGGTACCTGTGACTGGGACAGGGTGACGCGGCGGGACTGGGTCTGCGCCTGGACCAGCACTCCCACTCCGGCGTCGCCCACTTCCGCCACCAGCAGCTCGGGGGTGTTGGCGAGCAGGCGCAGGAAATACGGCTGGGAGAGGGGGACGGCGAGACCACCTAGTTCAGAACAAAAACCGGAGCAGAGGCTTGTGCTGAGTTCCGTATAAAGGCTTGGCTACACGCGTGCTTTGCGAGTCGGATGAAAAGAGACAATTACACTCAACGTCTAGTTGAGTAAACAGTAAACTGTTGGACTGAACAGTAAACTCTCTGCTACATCTGGCTTTTCCCATTTACAAGTTTTTGTGCAATATATGCCAGGGACGTGTGCCATATATTTATATTAATATCGTGCAATACAACTTTTTGTGTACTGTTCTGGTTTGTTCTTTGTATATTCTGGACCGTGAGTAACTCTTTAAGTGCACCTCTCACTGTCTGTACGGATTGTATTGTATGTATTGTATTGTTGTATTATTGTATCATTTCGTTACAATGTGCTGTGTTGACTGTGAAGCTGCTGTTGCACTGCAATTACCCTCACGCGATCAATGAAGTATCTATCTAGTTGTAGCCTTGCTTTTGTAGAGCAGGCATGAAGCTACGACTTTTATCGACGTGATGGCGTGCATGCTGGAGCGCCTCAGCTAATGAGCACGAATAAGCACCAGCTCCCGGTACTGTCTGTACCTTCAGCACTGCGAGACGCCGCCGCCGCCTCTCCGCCGAGCCCGGGCAGCCGGCAGACCGCGGCCAGCAGGACGGGCCAGCACAGCGAAGCGTCTTTCCGCGTCATCGCCCACTCGTCTTCATGTAGTCCCCGTTAGCGAGCAGGTCGGAGAGGCTGCCGAGGCCGAGTCGCGGAGTTTCGCCTCCCCTCCGGCTTCACTTCCTCGTTTCGTGCCCCGGGTGACGTCATCGACCTACGCCTGCCCACCCCCCTCCTCCTCCACATCTCCAAAAGGAGAAGCCCAGTGTGTGAGCCGCCCGTCCTTAGTCTATTGCGAGAAGTCTACCTTCCCTCACACAGCAATTCCGTTACGTTTCTGTAAGTATATTCTGGACTCCAGCCGTGTGGCTGAGCGCAGTCCCGTGTTTCGCGCACGCCCGGCGTGTCCCCGGCCGCGAGTGGCACGCTGCGGGTGGCTGCTCAGGGTTATTCAAGATTTCGGTAGCGAGTCTCAGAGGGATCTTGGCACCAATTGGACAGACGCTTTTAAGATCCAGGACCTTTCCCGGCTTCATTTAAACTATCTTAGTCAATCTTATTCAACAAAACACGTTGAATAAAGCAGTTTTTAGCTCTCTCCGCCGCTAATACTCAATTTGACAACAAGCATAAACGTCTTAGTCCTTTTTAAACCCCAGCTACTAAAAAAAAAAACATTACTCTCACCCTAATAAACCCCCTTTCACAGAGACACAGTTTTACACTAAAGTACGCCCTCCCTAAAGGCAATCAAGACCTTAGAGAGGTTTACTTGTTCCTCCTGCAAAGGAACAGGTAAAGGTTTATTCCCTGCTGTAGAGAGAAGAACAGAAACACAACGTTTCGGCCGTGGAGTCTCCTTCAGGCGTGAGGTTAGAGCTGTTTCCTGGGTGTGGAAGGGAGCGCTGGTTGATGAAGTAATTGACTGATTATCCCCCCCAAGTAGGGAGTCCAACAGCTCTGTCTACTAGGACTGATATAGCTAACGGCTTCAATAAGCAGGTTGTTGTCAGCAAAATGTGCTCTGGGACGAATCCTGTGGGTGAAGTCGACTTGGGTTTGGGGAGGATGCCCAGCTTCTTGGGGACTTCTACGAAACCGAGGCCTTTGCTGAGAAGAGATCGCAGGTCCTGTGAAAGGGAAAGGTCAGAGGGTACAGTCACAAGCAGGTTAGGATTGGTGGAGGTGGTGGGGGTGTTTTTTTTTTTTTCTGCAGAAGCTGATTGACTTTTTTGTCCTTCTCGGAAGTGAGGAACTGGTAGAGCTGGGAGTGGAGGGATCTGCTGAGGCGGGTGATGAAGGGAAGATGGGGCGGAGCTGTCAGCGCTGCTCTGATGTTGTCAGAAGGGGTTGGTCTGTTGTTTGAGGGAGAAAGCATGCGTTTCCTCGAAACGGGCCCTAGAAGTCTCTGAGTGTCACTCTGGGTGGTGTCAGACGACATCTGTAAAGGACTTGGGGGTGGTTAGAGAGCCTGTCTTGGGGCAGGTCGCTGTGTTTGGTGAGAGGAGGGGGGCAGGCGGCCCAGGGAGGAGGAGAAGAAATGACGAAGAGATCTGGAGAAAGATTTAGAGGAAGGCACAGTGGGTGGCAGCAGAAATAGGCTGAAGTAGTTGAGGTGGGGAGCTGCGTCAGCAGGCGTAGGCTACAAAGGAACAAGTAAAGGCTTATTCCCTGCTGAAAAGAGAAGAAAAGAAACACAACGTTTCAGCTTCTTCACACCCGAAGAAGGCTCCGCGCCCGAAACGTTGTGTTTCCTTTCTTCTCTTTCCAGCACGGAATAAACCTCTACTTGTTCCTTTGCAAACTATTTTATGGTCTTTTGGCGGCCTCTTGTGGTGGGATCCGGTCACTACAGTCTACACACCAATTCGAGCTTTACTGTGCCATTCGGGGAGAGTCGATTGACAGATCACTGCCAACATAACAACACAACGACAGACTATATAAGTCGAAGCCTCACACCGAAGCACAGAGGAGTAGCGTTTCAGCAGGGAATTGGGTTTCCAAGTACGTTTTAATCCTCAAGATGGCCTGGACGAAGAAA